AAGATTCAAATTGAAAAAAAAATATTAATAAAATCATTTTTACCTTTGTTTTTTCTTATTCAAAGGGCATAGGTCAATTTACAAGACCAATACCGTAAAATTTTTTCTTTGAAATGGTAAAATTATTTTTCAAAAATTATTTTCACTTTTATTTTTTTTTTCAAAGAGTTTTAAGACAGTTGACAAGATCAACAGATTATTTTTTATGTACTTAAAATTTTTTATTTGACGAAATTATTTTCACCTTTCAAACATCCAAAATAGTAAAAATATTTTGGGAAAATCATTTTCACCTTTACTAAAGGATCCTTTAAAATTAAAAAATTTTAGGATTAAAAGATAAGAAAGAGACAAAGGGAGAAATGGGATAGTTGGTCACCGCCAAAATCAAAGGGGGCAAGGGTGGTATTAAAACCATGTTTCACCTGGTGGTGCACCCTAGCTGTAAAGGGTCAAGTCTCAAAAGGTTTAGCCAACAGTCCGATTTAAGAATATCGGCACCGACCAGCTGAGTCAGCCTTAAAACAAAGAGGCTCATCATTGACCCCACCAACTCAAAACGGAAAAAAAGAGGCTGGGACTACAACCTTTACAAGGAAATTGAATTCTCTTCAGAGATAAGAATTACAAGTAAAAGTTGCCCTTTTTCAACTGTTTTGGATAGACATTACTTCAACCTCACTCAAAAAAGAAAAAAAAATTGATGCACAAACAGTATTTAATTTGTATATATTATCAATACGAATTATTTTGAAAAAAAATGAAAAAATTAATATTAAAATTTGATGTCGTTTTAAGATTTTATCAAATTTTTATTTTTTAATTAATATTTTATTATTGAGATATTAGAATTTAATAAGTTAAATTTTATATAAAAATTAATAGATTGTCAATGTATTAAATATTAATCTCAAAAACAATATTTTACGTCATCTAATTACCGTCATCAAGCTTGACTCAATCCCTGAAAACTTTCCTAAGACTTGGAAAAAACCAGTTGGTTGCCTGCCAACCTCTTTCGCCGGCTCTTTTACTTTTGCTTTGATTCCCTCTAATCAATAGGCCAACTTTGCTAGTTCATGCCCTTTGGAAAGCAAGAACATGTTCCTAGTTAGACAAAGCTTTTGTTTTTTTTAATCTTTTTCTTTGCTGATTTCACATTGCAAAGAATTGGGTGTGGAACACGTGTCTCCACATCCCACAATACTAAGATTACTTCAATGTACCTCAATTACAATAAATTAATGTAGTTTTTGTATAAAATTGAAATCTATATGTATATATTTTTTAAATTTTATAATTGAAAATCTTCTACAACGATTTATAACAAGACTTATAAAATTTATTCACATATATTATTTTGTGATAAAATATTTTTTTTACAATCTAATAAACCCGAATTGAATTAAGATAATACTTTTTAAATGTACTTTATCTTTCCATATTCAAAATCTATCTCTTTTCTTAACCTAGTTAAAATTCGAATTGCTGATAAATAATATTAGTTTAAAATGAAAAAGAAAGGGATTAATGAAGAAGATAAGGTTGAATAAACAATAATTTTCAAAGAGTATCTTTCACATCATTAATAATTTTTTCTCAATTCAAATCAGCTAAACAGTTTGCTAAGCTACTTAACAAGCACAATTGATGTAGGCATTCATTCATTCATTCATGCATGCATTAGTCACATTCAAGTCTGTCCAATTAAACCTTACAGTACAGTAAAATAATAATACTGTATTTGTTTCTAAATGTTTATCTTCCTTCGACTTTTTTGAAGATTAAGATAATATCGAGTATCGAGTATTGAATTGTATTTTATTACAGCTTGTAAACTAAGCAAGATATAAAGCCCGAATTCACTTACCATTAACTGTTAATTAAACAATTTTGTGCCGCAAAACCTTAATTAAGGAGTTAATTAACCCCAATAATCCTGTTCATTAAACACTGCAATCTCGGCACGTGCTCACGTGTCGTCATGTGAATGGCTTTATTACAAGCCTAAGCAACCGCCGTCCGTAGGCGGTCAGAGGAGCTGTCAAAACAAGGGGGGGCACTCACATTGTGCCACGTGGTACGAACCAAGTCCAACAAACTAAGAAAGAGATTTTTGTCCATTTGCGGACGATCATAAATAGCTGAAGAATCTTTCATAAGTTGCATATGGTTTGGATTTAGTCACCCAACCCAAAGTTTCCATATATATATGTACACTTTTGTTTATATATCATAGAACCCATCTTTGTTTCTTGGGTTGGTGTTCATATGGAGTGGATTAGAGGACCTGCCATAGGCCGTGGCGCCACCGCCACGGTGTCTCTAGCCACCTCGGTGCCTTCCGGGGAGGTTTTCGCGGTGAAGTCCAGCGAGTTGTGTCACTCCATCATGTTACAAAGAGAGAGTTACTTGTTGTCCAAACTGAGCTGTCCTCGTATAGTTAAGTACCTAGGGTGTGATGTTAGGAACGAAACGAGTGGAAACAAGCCTACGTACAACCTTTGCATGGAGTATGTCGCCGGCGGCACGCTGTTCGAGGAGATTCAAAGGGTCGGGGGGAGATTGGGTGAAGAGAAAGTGAGGTTGTACACCAAGCAGATTCTACAAGGTTTGGATTATCTTCATGGGAATGGGGTGGTGCATTGTGACATCAAGAGCCAGAATATTTTGATAGGTGAAGAAGGAGCGAAGATTGCTGATCTTGGTTGTGCTAAGTTGATGGGAAAAGTTGGTGGTGATAATGGGTTCGACACGTCAGCATTTTCCGGTACACCGGCTTTCATGGCACCGGAGGTAGCACGTGGGAAGGAGCAGGGCTATGAAGCTGATATATGGGCTCTTGGATGTACAATTGTAGAGATGGGAACCGGAAATTCACCATGGCCGGAGCTGAATGATCCGGTGTCAGCTCTTTATAAGATTGGATTTTCCGGTGATGTACCCGAGATTCCCAAGTGGTTTTGCGAGAAAGGTAAGGATTTTGTCAGAAAGTGTTTGAGGAGGGATGCCAAAGAGAGATGGACAGCTAAAGAATTGCTTCAACATCCATTTTTGGAAGAATTGGATACCTATTTGAAGGAAGTAAAGGATTCCGCCATGGATTCTCCAAGTTCTGTGTTGGATCAAGCTTTCTGGGATTCACTTGATGTGGTGGAAAGTCCTAAGAATTTGATTCCTGAAGGGATTTCTTGGAATTCTCCGGCCAACAGGATCAAGAAACTGCTTCAAGGCACTCTGTCACCAGCTTCCAATGCTTCCAATTGGACTTGGAACGAAGATTGGATCACAGTTAGAAGCATCCACATTGAAGAAACCAAGGCTTGTTCTGGTGAGAGCAATGCCATCTTAGGAGATGATTCTTCATTTACAACTCCTTCATTCCTGGATCTTTTCCAAGATGAACTTACCATTGAAAGCTCAATCTTAGATCATGGTAACTTGTTGGATAATTCTATTGAAACCATCATTGATTTTAGCAGGATTAGAGTTACAACAGACTTTATATCGCCATTTGACCATGTAACAGATGATTCTTTTGTATCAGACAATCTCAATTTTGAGACAGTTAATGAAAATTCTTGTTCTATTGAATCTCTTTCCAATATCCCATCTTTCATATATGAATCATATTCTTAATTTCAAACGGTAAGGCAGAGATGGCCGGCCGGCAGGATGCCGGTAGTTAACTTGGCCTATTGCTGTTTTGAAAAGTATGACTTCTGAACAAAGCCATCAGCCACTATTCATTGCGTTCACACTTCTTTGTGTGGACAGAGGAGACTTAGGCTTAAGTAGATAGATAAGGAACAAGTCAACCTTGGCTTCTCTTCACCTTTGTGGGTTAGATAAGATTAATAAATTAATCTTAGCCTGCTCCTCCCTAGGCAAATGCATGTGGCTGTTTCATTAGTTCTGTACTTGCAAAATAAGGGCAATTACCAAAAACATTCCTGATAATTTTCTGCATAAAATGAGGATCTAAGTATATAAAAAAAGTCCAAGGGCTTCACTGTTTTGAACACGGAATACATGCATTTTCCATTGAATTATATGTTCAGATGCTAAATATCACGGTCTCAAAGGGGAGTCCTGAATTCCATGTCAACTGTGTATTAAAGTATGATTGGATATTTAAGTGTTCATATTCAGTGAATAATAACTTACAGGTGGGTGTAGATCATGAGCTGTGAGGTTTCTCGTTGTGGAATCCAGTAGAAATAGATTTTTCTTTTATATCTTACAGTTACAGCAATGGAGATTAAGTCAAAACATTGAACCAAGTTTTCCCCTTGATCTTGATTAGTTGCATCAGTCATCTTCCAGAAAGGCTGATGCTGAAGCATTAGGTGCTTGAGGGAGACTGGAAGGGAGGGGGGTTGACTTCATTTTTTTAATGTATCATGCAATGACTTTTAACAAAGTCAAGCTATCAGGAAGGTCAACTACACTCAGTCTTTTTTTCACATGTGAAAGCAAAAAACAGAATAGGCTTTTAGGTGCACAAGTGGGAGAAACCGACATTGTTTTGGTTTGCCTAATCTTGTTTGAGTCAACTGACAGAGAAATGAAGACTAAGCATTACCCTTTTACAATCTTGGTTCAACAATGGTAGGTGAATTTACTTACTCAGACCAAGTATCATCCTTTCACATGTTTGTTTAACAATTACATAATCTTTGTCTATGAAATTGAAAATTCCCCATCTTTGAAACCGCCAGCTGCAAGTTAATCCTTCTAGACTATTCATGATTTGATTCTTTGTAGCCTCCTGGTTTGGGTCCATCCCATGCCAGTTTTCTGGTCTCAGGTAAAAAGTTCATTCAAGTTCTGAAAGAAGGTCTGATCTGGGTTATTAGAAATTTTGATTCATGATTGATATCAGACAACAGGAAAAGTCTGTCTGGCCATATACTCTTTGAGCAATTTGATGAATCTACCATAATCAACACCATGAATTTCATTCTTCTTATTCTTGAATCTTATTATAACATAAAACCTTGTCCTAGAAATGTTTACATTTCTGTTTTATGAAGTAAATTAAGCATAAAGCTTTAGTCTACAAAGAGAAATCTTTCAGTCTAACATCACTTGTTCTTGAAGCTGTTGCCTTCTTTGAGTGCTCTTGCGTTAGAGAACCTTCTACAACCTTTGGTTCGGCTTTTTCATCTGCCTCCAATCTCCTCCTTATTGGATTGAGCTCTTTGATATGGTAGTGTAATCTATATGTAACCAGTGCAAGGAATAGAGCAAACCCTGTAATATAATCCTTTGATATGAATGTTAGAAAACTTCTTTCAAAGGGTCATTTGAGCTTTTCTTTTTTGCTAAGAAAATGCACCCTGCTGATAATTTCGAATAAAAATCTTGTACTCCCGTTTGATGTCTCGATCCTAATTTTACACAACATGTCTAATAAACTTCTTATATTAACGTCACTCTGACTGTTCTATTAAAATTAGGGTTTTTAATCGATAATTAAGAATTGGACACGTGATATAAATTTATGAAAGAAATGAGATACCGAGTGGGGATGGAGGATTTTAATCTGATAATTTCAGGCTATTCAGGCAATGGCACATAATGAGCAAGGTTAAACCATCTGCTAAGATTAACTATATAACTTTTGCAGTGCATGAAGAATCAATGCTGTAATTTTACCTAGTCTATGAAGCAATCTATATTAGCTAGTAAAGAGCCTTTCCAGACACCAATTTTCCCAGTCTTTAAGTTCAGCTTACTTTTACCATATTGGAAACAATGTCAAACCCCTGGTTTCTAGAAATGCAGCAGACAAGACAACAGATTAAGATTCAGTCCTGACAGCTAGCTAGCTAGCAAGCATATCTTAAAGCATGAAAACTTATCTCCTGAAATTGGTCTACATGGTTAAAAACTCTTACAGGAACATTAAATTCAAGTTCATGATGATGAATTACCCATAAGGGATGCTTCCAGGATTCGATTTGCCAAGAGAACCTCATCAGTTGGATTGATCACACCTCCTTCTAGCGCCCGTTTCTGGATCTGCATTGCATTGTATGAGATAGAGATAAAGACAACAAACAAAGTTCCTGCAACAGTCTTTGAAATCACAGGGCCTCTCCCTTCTTTAATCTTGTCCAATACCTTGATCACCAGTTTCCTCAGAGGAGAGCTGAACAGGAGTACCAAAACCAGAGCCATTTCCGCAGAAACAAGTATGAACAAGAGATGGAACATGTTGAATTAATGAAACTACTCAGGAAAGAAAAAACACTACTGCAATGGGTTATGAGGCAATCATATTCAAATTTATGGGGTGAAAATGTCTTGACATGTTGAATATATTTGGTATCTGCTTCAAAACTTCAGCTGTTGGTTCAACTAAAGAATTATACTTTCCATAACTATAGGGAGGATAGAATATATCTTTACTAATAGGAAATGTGTGTAACATGTGTTAACAAGGAGAAATGGAATAACTTGCAGGCTCAGTTTCCAAACTGTACAACAAGAACTTTCTCTAATCTTTTTCTTTCTTACAATTCCTATGTAAAAACATTGTGCCATTAAGCCAAAGGTCTAACAAGTTACTAAATAGCAAATAAGCTGATAATCATGCACCGATCATTGAGTCAAATATCGGTTATAATGAGTTCATTAGTCTTGTATCATAAGGAAAGGAAATTGAAGAAGATCACCAGCATTAAAGTGCTAGGCTCTTCGACCTTTGTTTATGCACTTTGAGGCTTTTTTTTAAGAATATGTTCCAATAATTCCTGTGTTCTGTCTCTACTTCTCAACAAATTTAAGAGTTCAAAAACTTTCGCCTCTATATGGCTCCACAGAGGTGTAGGGTAGCTTAAGTTGAAGAACTAAAGCCTGATCATATTGTATTTGGGCTTTGAGATAGATCTATACCCATCCTTTCTTTCTCATGACATAACTTGGGCTGGACTTGAGTTTGTTTCAAGAACTAATATGGGCTTGGACATCATAGTCCATCTCCTTATCCTCGTACTAACTCCAAAGGAAACTTGGGCTGCTAAGAAATCAGCAAAGCTTATTGGTTTACAAGTGTTCTACTGAATTGGACATAGGGTTGAAGAATTAAAGCCCATTAATGCCTGATAAATTATATATATGGGCTTGGGCAGAGTCTATCTGTCTGCCAACCCCTTTTACCTTCTGGGCTTGTGGCTTCTCTTAAGAAAACTTTGGCCTATAAGAAATCCACAAAGCTCATTCATATTTGGGCTTCGACAGGGTCCATTTCTCTCTTATTTTAATTAATTACAATTTGAACATATACGATCAACGTAGAAATTGTACATGAAATAGGCTGGCTGACCAGAGCTTTCAGTCTTCCATGGCAACGAAGATAAAAATGGATTCAAAGAAGAATCAAAAGAGCTTGCTTGCAAACTCTTCATGTGTTGAAGAATGAACTGGATGGGATGCATCTGCAAGGTCTCTGAGCTCTGACAAACTTCTCCCTAGCTGAAGAGCCACTTTCACTTCAAACAATTCTCCATTTTCCCTCTCATCAGCTTCTGTTTCCCCCAAGGTTGATTCTATGGTCTCTCCCATCAGCCTAAAGAATCCTGCAGAGCTCCTATACATTTCAAATACCATACCAATCTGCCCACCATGCTCCAAACTATTAACAACAATCGCCATAGCTCCGAACACTACACCCAAAATTGCAGCAAGTGAGCCACAGAAAGATGATCCCATCAAGGCAGAACCAAGTGCGGCTATGCCAGTGAAAAAGGGGCCACATATAGCTAGAGTTTTATTGATTTTCAACACTATTTGGCTCAGCCTGATGTATTCTTCAGTGTCTTTCCTCTTCAGAATCCCAACAATTTCCTTCATTTCTTCTTCAAGATCCTCATCCCACCCGTTTCTTTCTACTTTCCTGACGAGCTTTTCCTGTCGAGCCTTCTCTTCTGGCCACCACACAGCTGGCTGTACAAGCGATAGAAATTTATCAAGCATGGCACCGAGCAAGGGAAGTGGATAAGCTTTATCCAATGCCAAGACTTTCTCCATTGCATCCTTCACATCATCCGAATCCGGGTTTCCAAGAGCAATGTTTGTCTTCATCTCCTCATGGAGCTTCTTAAACAATCTCGAAGCATTCCTTGGTTCTTCAGCCAGCTGAGATGGCTGTATCTTGTTCATCACCACCAAAACCCCAGTTGCTGCCATGTAAAGCAAACTAGAAGATAGCTTCAGAGCCAAAAACGATGCTCCTCCACCTCCACCAACAGCTGCAATTCCAGCCATTATGGAAGCTGTGACTGTCATCCCATTGACAGAATTCAACAGAAGCCAGTTCCAGTTATCGCGCTGTGCTCCAATATTCTTGTGCATTTCAGCTCTATCTGCTACAATATCCATTATAGCATACATCTCCCGCATCACCATTGAATTGGAGATTTCTTCCTTGTCTGCAGGCTTAATTTCTACAAGGGGATTGGTTGTTTCGAAGGTTTTCAACCCTTTTCTTCTGTTGAACTCATCATTCAGGATCTTAGAAACTGAAACATTTGGGTTACTGATTAGAGCACTGACCCTGGTTCTCCTAAAGGAAGCTGAGGAAGAACAGCAAGAGAAAAATGGTGAAGAAGCCTTAAGACTAGCCATGATCACTTTGGCTTTTGCAGCTAAATGAGTGAGAAATCTGATGTATTTATGCAGAAGTAAACGTGTCTGACTTCTTCAACATGAATGATTTTCTATCACAACTTAGTCTATGATCCCAACCTGACAAGACTTTTTGACTTTTCATATGTGGCTATGGAAGTGTAGACTGGGTTGAACAGACTTCACTAAAGAAAGGTGTGAACTAGTCTGATCTCATGGACATTTTTCACTTGGAAGCTCTCGTCTCTGGCTGAACCAAACTGGAAATTCCTATGGTCTGCAAAACCCCAAATACTATAATATTATACAGAGTAGGGAGGAGGAAGTAGGTAAATTAAAAGGACAATATATTTTTTGGGTGGGGGAGGATTTGGGAGAGAATATCAAGGTACATTTAATGCATTAGTTTTGAGATTATTGATAATACGTTTTTATAAATTTAAAAAAAAAATTAATTGAGTTATGCAAATTTACAAAATATCAATAATTTTGAGATTTTTAACTTTTTTTTCTTGAATCTTACATGGATTGTTTTTAAAGGTTTTGGAGTTTTTAATATTATTTATCAATGAAGTGATAGTTTTTAACTAATTGAGTGTAAAAGATGAAATACATGATACATTTCAGTCAATTCAAAGTGTTGAGTTCCTCCATTTTCCTCATATTTCACGAGAAAAACAACATTTTGATGAGAAAATTATTAGGAAAAAGAGTGCTTGGTATAATGCTTTGGGTCTAAAATTTTGATTTTTTTGACCATTTACATGTAAATCTCGAGTTCTTTTTCTATGTAGCAATATATATATAGACACACGATTTTTCCATTTTTGCATGTCATGAAGAAAACAGGCAAACTAGAGACACCAAATCCTGACCAGGATTAGTCAGCTTAGGACGGTGGGAGAGAGCTATCACAATGTGAAAGATATGGCAAAGACTAACCATACGATTGTCCTTCAGTCCAGGACATATGTCAGTAGCTGCAAAACCCTAGGAAGGGGGGCACAGCAGGTGGACTGCCGTGAGGCCCCGGGCGGTGATGGTCGGAGGAGTAAGTGTTCACTCTGACTCCTGAAACATTAGTGAGTAGAAATAACCCATCTGTGGAGCTTGAACTCAAACCCTAGCAGCATAATTATCCAGGCCATTACAAGCAAAAGTTCCAGAATCCCCAAATGGAGAATTGGGAGGAAAGAAATAAGCAGAACCCCCCACCTGAAAACAGGATTCTAATGTTGAGTGCAAAGGATTAAATACCACCATACGTGAATCTCATAAGAAAGCAAAGCTTTCCATGTCTGATTTTTCACATTGAAAGTGTCACAAATGTCAATTTATGGATAATACATTAAACCCTGCATTGGTATTATGTGCACCCGTTACACCAGAATTTATAAAAGTTTGGACATATTTGCACAACAGAAAATAGAATGATGTATTTCAATACGCAATATAGTTCAGCAATGGCCAGCCGCAATTTCGGAACTCATTAAAGGGTGGAATGAACAATGATACCCTACAAAACTTTAGACACTTATTCTTGTTCATTAAAATAGGAGGTGTATATCCAATGCTAGGTGTGCCAGGAAAACCATGAAATATCACAGCAGTCGCTGATTAAGACCTTCATACATCAAGGAGCAGCCTACGAGGGTCCTCCACGACATCCTTGATACGACGCAAGAAGAAGACAGCCTCTCTTCCATCAATCAGCCTATGGTCATAAGTGAGGGCAATGTACATCATTGGTCTTGGGACTATGTTACCTCCAACAACCATTGGCCGAGACACTATTGAGTGCATACCCAAGATAGCCGACTGCCAAAAAATTATTCAATTTATGTGAGATTCTCTTTCTGGCCATAAACAAAAGCTAATGAATGAGAAACTTGGAAAAGTAAGCAAACACCTCTATCTATGAGGACAAGTCAAAACTGTATGGAACCTCCATACATATACAAGCTATTTGTAGGTGCATAATAGTAGATGCAAAAGAGTTGTTTATTCAGTTCTGTAACCACTAACCTGTGGAGGGTTGATAATGGGGGTACTCAATAGACTTCCATAAACACCACCATTGGAGATTGTAAACGAGCCTCCAGCCATTTCATCAATTGATATGGTCCCATCATTTGCCTTCTTTGCAAGACTGTTGATTGTCTTCTCTATGTCAGCAAAATTCATCTTATCAGCATCACGGACAACTGGAACGACAAGCCCCTGGTAGGAAATATACAGGAACAAAAAGCTTAACATAGAAACATGAATCACATAGTTCCTCTGCTTTTTTCCTTTTTCTAATTTTTCATTGCAGCAACGAGGTCCATGCAAATATATATATCAACACTGGCACTATACAATCAGCAGAGTCATTTTAAGATTGATATAATTTTCTAGATCTCCCTTTTTCTCATTTGTCAAGAAATAAAATAAAGCAACTTCAGCTCCGAAGTAATGTAAAAATCTATAATGTTCTTTACTTGTTAAAGGACAAAGTTTTGAACCCACGCATTAGTCAATTCAACTTTAAAAACTGCTCTAAGTTCAGATAAACCCCAAATAGATTTATAAATTTCTTTCAAACTAGCCAAGAAAGAATGCTAAAAAAAATACTGATGATCCCAGTTGCATCCAGACATTAAATAGCTTAATTGCAATTTGGCAAGGTCAAAAAATGTCAAAAAAGAACACAATCAACAAAAATTATTACAAACCTTTGGAGTACCAACAGCAATGCTGATATCTACATAATCTCTATATATAATGTCATCCCCATCAATTACAGCATTTACAATAGGCTGATGCTGAAGTGCACTAACAGCAGCCTGAGACAATAAAATAGAAGAAATGGTAAGGGGAAGAGAGAAAAAGTCCAGTTAGTGAAGGCAAACCATCAGTGCATATGTGAGCAATTATAAACAAATCATCGCATACTTTAACAAATCCTGACATAAATCCCAACTTGACACCGTGTTTCTCAACAAAAGCATCCTTGTAATCAGAGCGGAGCTTCATCAAATTAGTCCTACAATGAGAAGCATATCAATAAGAAAAGGAGACAAACAACAGAATCAGCTTTATCATGACTAAACCATAGCCTTCATAAGGTAAAACTGATCAGATTTAACTTCACAGAAAAATTGTGCAAGAAAAGGGAAGCAAATAGTTCAATTCAGTCAGAACCATCTAAACCAAAACGCAAACCGATCTAGAAATGTTCACAAAGTTAGGTAGCACAGGCAGTCAGCAGGACGACTAACACCTGATATAAAGAACTAAAATATGAGGGAACATTGAACTCACATGTCAACTTCATTGAATGTTGTCAACATTGCAAAAGTATTCTGAGAATCTTTCAATCGTGTAGCAACCCGTTTCCTAAGCCTTGTCATAGGAACCTGCAATCATGAAACCATCGATACAGAAACTCAGGATTTATTATCTAAGAAGCTAACATCATTTTTTCCACATCAGAAATTCTAAGAATACCATTTGGATGTAAACAGCAAATGAAAAGACTTACTCGTCTTTCCCTTTCCTTGGGTGGAAGTATAGGTTCAGTTGCAGTTCGTTTTGGAGGTGGCGGAGAAGGGGCTTTAGGCTTCACCGCAGCAGGAGTAGCTTCAACTTTAGCTACGGCTTCAGCTGGAGGAGATGGCTTGGAAGCAACTTTTTCTGATTTCTTTTCAGCAGGAGCAGCAGGAGCTACACCTTCAGCGGACTTCGAAATGATAGCAATCTTGGTTCCTGGTTCCACAGTATCTCCTTCCTTGGCTACATACTGGAAGGAATCATGACATTAACATTCAGGATCCAGTCCACTCCCCTTTCTCACAGAAAAGAGAAGGTAGGGGTCTAGGAATGACCAACAAGCTAAAAATGTGTGTGCATGCATTTGTGACCCAAAGATCCAGATCTACAGATATATTACCTCTTGTATCACACCATCTTGGGGGCTGACAACATCAATTGTTACCTGATGAAAATAAACACTACAGGCATTAGCAATACAAACAATACTTTCTCAATAGAACAAAAGGTGGAGATAGTACCTTATCTGTTTCTATTTGAGCAATTGGTTCATCAGCTGCCACTCTATCACCAGGTTCTGCTCTCAAAGATATAGGTACATACACAATCAAGCACTTAAAATCATAGAAAAACAAATATTTCTAGTGATTAGAAGGAAATCACAGTAGTGGAAAACATACTTTTCAAGAATGTTGCCAGAGTGCCATCAGTGATTGATTCTCCCATAAAAGGAACAACAGCATCAACTAGATCCCCTTCATCACAAGTAAATAAATGGGGAAAGTTAAAATTTTTTAAATTCAACATAATAGCAACATAAAAAGGAATGAATGGCTGTTCTTAAGCAGACACCTGTTCCTCATCAATATGTACTTTTTTCAAGTAAAAAGTGCACTAAAAATAACAAAAGGGTGCAGGTGCAAACCTAGTTCCACAAGAGTTCTACCCTAAATTATTATCCAACTAAAGTGCAGCCAAAATTTTCATACTCATGCTTTTACACTATTCCAGAAAAAATTATTGCTTGACCTAATACCTCTTGGGCGACCCAACTGCCAACTTTGAAACAGGTTTGACAATGAGTAGATGTTAATGGTCTAATCCAGATAAAGTGGTGATCAAATGAAAAATTATAATGCACAGGAATTAAATTCTTACAAAGACCCAAAAAACCACCCATGTATTAAAAAACCATTTGACAGAAAGACGAGAAAAAAATGCAAAAAAGCCTTTGGCCAAATAAATTTCACTAAGGAAATTAGCCAATATCATACCATCTCCAGAAGAGAAAGCCCTGCATGACTTTTGCATCATAGCCTCTGACTGAATGCTAGAAATGACATCCCTGCACATAAGAAAAGCTGTTAGGGAACAGAAGTGCTAAGAAGCAGCAAACTCATTTAAAGAATTAAAAAAAAAAAAAATCACGAGCATTGAATTTCCAGTTTAGTTTCCCTAACTAATCTTGCCTCTATATAAACAAAATTGAGATGGACTACTTTGCATTAAAATGGACCTACTACTAAAGATAGATATGGTAATTACATACAACCATCAGATTAATCCAGTAGTCACATCACACCCTCACTGTGTCAAGTAATGAGTAATGAGTGACAGTTTAATTCCTAACACTGGCGTGCATTACAAAGTTCAAAACCAACTAACCTTGTCTTTGTTAAACCAGCTGAACAGCCTGTAATAATCATGAAATGATTTTCATTAACAACAAAGACAATCAACACAATTATGCCAACATGAGAAGAAAACCACCCAAAAGATTTACCTGGCAGAACAAGATGAGAGAAGTTCCGGACATGGGCAAATCCTCTCGCTTGAAGTAATATTATCTGTTCAAACACTTCAAATTTAACTTTCATGAGAATATTTTCCAAGGGATGATAAAAACCCAAACCCAAAATGATTAAAAAACAAAGGCTTCCATTTGCTTATCACTTTTACTACTTGCTTTTCTGCTTCCAGAAGAGAAAACACAAAGAGTAACCACATTTAGAGATTAAAAATTCAAATTTTACCAACGACAAAATGCATCATTTTCATAAAGCAACTTTTGGCAACGTCTAAGTAAATCAATCATCTTCGATAACAGTCATGGATTTAATAGCATAGAGATCAATCAAAATTCAAATTCAACAGAACTGCCAACATGATTACGAAATTCCAAATTCATTTTCAACTGAATTATTTACCTCTTTTCCAGCATTCGAAGAAACTCTAGATGCTGAAACACCCGACCCAATCGCCTGCATTGACTTCCCTAACACCTGAAAAATCAAACAAATTCTAATAAAATCCAAGCGCTAGCTAAAAAAAATACAATTCAAATAAAAAAAATTAAGCTCTAACCGAAGCTGATGAGCCTCCGCTCGCAACTTTTCTCCTCAAAGCGCCCAACATCACCGATATTCAATTCTTTTTTTATCAAAATCACAAACAAAAAATAAAAATCAAATCAATAATGAAAATGCAAAATTATAAAAAAAAAGTCCAAAAATCAAATATTTACGAGATTTCTCCGAATAAACACTATTAAGCTCAATAAAAATTAAAAAAAAAAGAATAAATGAGACGTGACGGAAGGAAAGATCGAAGAGGTAGACAGAGAGAGAAGTTTGACCTGATTTCTGCAGACAAATTTGAGTCGTAGGGTTTTTTTAAGAGAGATGTCACTTTTCTTCTGTGTGCTTAGAAAGAGAGAGAGAGACTCAGCGAGAGAGACCGCGAAGATGCGCGTTTAGCGGGGCTGCTGTATCCACTACAGCAAGGCCCAGTGGTGATCGTTCACGTGTCAAGTTATTATTGGTCTATAAGTGAAAAGTGAAATGCTTTTCTTGTCTTGACCGAGAATTGAAAGAAGAAAACAGGAAAGTTGCAACGGCGTCGTTTACTAACAAGGACTGAGGTTAGACCCGAACCAAGAATTTTGGGCTTCAAAGACTTTAGTGGTCTGGTTGGGTCTAGAATTGGGTTGGATTGATCATAGTTTGGCCCAATTTATGGTTTGAACCATGAAGAATATCAATTCAACACATTAAACCAATGATTTGGACCCTTGAGATTTTGTTACCTTAATTAGATTAAGGTACTAATAAGCAAATTAGGGATCATCATAGTTGTCATTTAATACTATTATGGTCCTAATAAGCAATTAGGGACCATCATAATTGTCATATTAATACGTGTTTGACTAAAAACGATAAATATTCAAAACGGGACCATGAGAGTATATTATAAGAATGATACAAATATTCAACATTAACCACCTCCGTAATGCATATTTTGACTAATATTAGCTAGATTGCAAAAGAAGAATGTTGCATTTTCATTTAATTCTCAAAAATTAAGTTTCCCTTTTTTCCTTAATTATAAATTGGCAAAAGAAGAATGTTTGGTATTCATTTAATTGTGAAATTAAAGTTTACTCATTTAGCAAGTACGACTACAGTGTTCACAAGATATATGGCATTGCCATTAAAATGACCTTAGGTGGGTGTTCTCAATTTTAGTGATTGAAAATGCATTAATTGCTTTTAATTTCATTGAGAAATCATGTCATATATATATATATATGGTACATATATTCATTATTAATTATATTTAATAAATAGAGAGAGATCGATATTGTCGGTTGGTCTACCGTCTAGGTGTGGAGAATTAAAAATATTGTCGTACCACGTGACTTTCACAAAGGTAAAAACTTTAATTTCTTTGAATTTTTATATTTAAATTTAAAAAAATTATAATATAAATATAAAAATATATAAAAAAAAGAGATGAAAGAAGTACATATTAGATCAGACGGCAGGAGTAAGATCGGACGCTAAACGGGCATGCGAGAGAGACAGAGAGAGATGCATAGGCTAAAACTAGAGATGCAATTCCAGGTTACACCATGGATGAGGAAAGATGGACAGCTGCTTGCATTTTCATGTCTCTGCAGGCTGGAGCTGAGCTAAAAGGAAGAGAGTGTCACCTTCTAAGTTAGGCTAGTAACCATTGGTTCCTTTGCCTCTTTGAAAGAAAGCAGCAAAAAGATGAAGAGAATGTGCAAAATCTACCTCAATTTGCTTTGATTTGGTGTGGCTTCAAGCAACGATGCATGGTTTACCTAAATGAGTACGTAAATCATGTGTAAAAGATCAAAGAGCTAGCATTAATAATGAGTTTATTTCTTTCTTTCATTAACATTTGGAATAAACATAAACATAAAGTAGACCAATTGATCATGATTAACAACAATGTAGCACATGATCAGAAGATCATACATTTTGATTCTTGGCTAATACTTGACTAATTTGAAATTAAGTGAACCATATAAGAGAGAGATTATATTTTTCTTTCTTCTAGCATGTCTTTCATGGGAATCCTCCAAGGCCACCACCTGCACCAGCTCCGCCGCCAAACCCACCTCCAGCGCCAGCTCCACCACCAAGTCCACCACCACCGCCAAAACCGCCTCCACCTCCAGCTCCACCACCACCACCTAGTCCACCTCCTGCTCCAGCTCCACCTCCGAACCCTCCACCAGCTCCACCTCCAAATCCACCACCACCACCTAGTCCACCGCCACCTCCGAACCCTCCACCACCACCTCCGCCAAGTCCGCCACCTCCACCTAGTCCACCACCAGCACCAGCACCCCCACCAAATCCAGCTCCACCACCTGCACCAGCACCTAACCCTCCTCCACCTCCTAACCCACCTCCACCACCTCCTCCTAAGCCACCACCGAATCTCGGACGATGAAAGAGGTTTTTCTCATCCTCGAACCCACTCGTGAGCTTCCTAGCAGTACTGCTGGCACAAACAAGTGCACCTAGAAACAAAACAAAGAGAAGCTTAGAAGAAGTCATCTTTGCCAAGTCTTATGATACTATAAAGTCTGATGCGAGGTGGGGGATCCAAGGAGGGCTTATATAGGGAAAAGTATGAAGCCATGAAGCTTGGAGCTAGGAAGTACAGTTGAGGTCTTAAATTTTGCTCATCTTCTCATCTAAAAGCCGGTGTTGGAAGAGTTAATGCACCCAACTGTCACTTTTGAAAAAGGAAACTCTAAACCATGTCCCACGTCTGATCAAAACGAGTGGATCTTCACGTTGCTGTTCAAACAATTGACGCCATTGTTTTTATGATTCAGCACCCAAACGGTGCCATTGACCTTTTTCACTCTAGTTCTTGCAATTTGCAAGAGCTTGTGTTGTTTGAAACTCTGAGTGTGGGCTTGAGGGTTTACTTCTTCCCACTCCCATTAGCCATGCATTTCATTGACTTTGAAAAACGCAGGCTACCATTAATGCCACAGCTTGCTTGTTGGGGATGTACTTAATGCCCAAATATGCAATCAATGAAAGTTTAACCCCCCAAAAAATAAAGAAGAAAAAGAGTGAATAATAAGTCCAAGGAGTTAGATAAAATTAGATAATTTAATTTGATAAATGGTATTTCTATATTGATATATATTTCTTTTGTTGAAATCATTATGTTTGGTAATCATATTGTACATGTATATTTCAGTATACGCCGAGAAAGGATTTTATGTGACAGTATTTATGTATCAATATATATTTTTTACATTCAAAATAATCATCTTATGTTTTTATATTATATGCACAAATTTCGATATTCAATGCATAATAGAAGAAGTATCAACGAGTTAGATAAAAGATCATGTATATTTTGAAACGTTCAAATTAGGAAAAATCAATTTTTTTACCCTCTTTCACTTATATGAAAAAAAAAATTATATAAAAACGATATTTCTGTATCATTATGTATTGTTTTCGTTCAATCGTTTGAATCATTATACTATGTAATCATATCACATAAAGAAGATTTTATGAAACGGTATTTTTGTATTATTGTACATTTCTCATAATGTTAATTATATAATCATATTATACGTGTAAATTCCAATTTATTTAGTTGAAAATCTTGAAAAGAGGTTAGTTTTTTTTTTTTTATAATTTGAAGAAGAGGGAGTTGAACCTTACTCTTTAGACAAGAAGATTATACACCAACTAATAAATTAAATGTTCGAGTGTAGAAAAGAGGTTAAGTTAGAGTCGAGATATTAATTAGAATTGGGGTATTATTTTGAAGGAAAACTCTTCTTCTTGTTAACTATTGTTAAGACAAGATGGATTTGATGAACAAAAGAATATTTATGTGATTTGTCTACTTGTATTGCTGGCATTAATTGTATGCTGGACAGGCAACACTACCCAAACACCAACCAGACAAAAGCATGCTTAAATCCCCACAATTCAAAGGAAATTGAATTGGTTAGGCACTTGACTAGCAAAATTTGGATAAATGCCTTTGTCCATTCAAGAATCCATGGCTTTAATTTCCTAAGGTCTCACTTAACTAAACTTCGATGTATACACTTTCCGTCCCTTTTTTTTTAATCTATTTTTCCTTTTTTTAGAAAATAATTTTTTTTATTTTTCACATTAAAAGATCATTACAATAAATTTGGCTTAAGACATCATATTTTTAAAATGTGCAACTAAAAATATTTTTAATAACATTTTTTATATTTTTTAGAATTTTTTTGGATATAATTTCACTATATAAATTTTTAGATTCATTATGAATAAAATGTAATGATAGAAATTGTATACTCTAACAAAAGTTACATTTTTTTATATTTCTACTAATATGAAAAAAATAAAATTAAAAATTTAAATAGCTACACTTTTTAATATTTTATTATACAAAAAAATGTTACTTAAAGAAGTGTGATTAAAATTTAATTTTTTTGTAGTGAGATATTGAACATCTATATTATTAAAAAAAATTAATATAAAATACGTTAAAATTAGAGCTTTTGTTTTAATCTCCGTCAAAATCAAAGAGATATGGAAAACAAAATTCCTTTTTAGGCCAAGATATTGAACATCTATTTTGCATTTTTTAGAAAATAAAATTTTTAATAATTTTTTTATTTTTTCATATTAAAAAATATTGAACATTTATATTATTAAAAAAATAATATCTCTGTCAAAATCAAAGAGAGACAAAAAAAAATCTTTTTTAGGCCAAGATTTTGAACATTTATTTTTTGTTTTTTTTTTTTTGAAATGCCTCAAAATATTTTTTTTTCTTATGTAGACACTTAATGCTCTTACTTTTTTTATATTATAAATTCATTTTTCTTTTTTTTTTTGAATTGGGCCAAGATTATGACTTTGCTGAGATTAAACCCAAGTCACAAACTGACCCAAACCCAAGCGTCCCTGTTGTATGCCACGTGGCAAGAAATTATCCCCCACTGTCCATCAACATTATCCACACTACTCCAAAAGAATCCTTACACACCATATTCTGCCTGGAAAAGTCTTGGTTTTGAACTGTGAATGTCGGGATGGTTTGCCTCCATTGCCAGTCTCCATTCCTTCCCTTCCATTCTCAGCTCAAACCCAGGCAGAAACTGAAAGCTGAAGGACAGCTTTGGCTCTTCTGCAAAGCTCCTCCAAGTCTGGTTTTACAGAGACAAACTGTTAATTCATTTGTGCCTTTGAGGACCAATTCCCAGTCCATTGCTGCCATTCCTCCATCCCAATCTGGAGATGTCAGTGTCTTTCTACAAACAAGGTCTAGTTGCTCTTTAGTTTTCATGTTAAATTTGTCAGGAAATTTTGACGTACATATGGGCTAATTCGTTTTTCCAGAAATGCAGTGCATTGCTTCTGGTTGTTTACTTGTTGGCGAATTTCGTGGCACCATATTTCATCTCCAAGTATTTCGAATTCGACAAGGTAAGGGAAGATCAGAAGAGGAATGAGAAGTGATTAAACCTTGGAAAATGAGGATGAAGAAGATAACAGGAAATGAAGCTCAGGAATGCAGGCAGCTTTCCCTGGAGACATTGACATCATAATGGCCAAAACCGACCTGAAAAACTCTAGCTTATGGTAGTATATGTTTCCTTGTATGAACATGTAGTCATTTTCTCCTATTATTTGCACAATGCACATTTATTGCTGGACAGTCCCGATTTACGGAACATGATCCGGGGAGCAATTACTGCACAAACAAATTCATTCATTTTTTGAATCGAACTTCAAATTACCTCTGATGGGAACCATCAGCTCATTTCAGAATAATTTACAATTACCTACAAAACTATGCTGCTGGGCCCAGGGGGAAAAATGGAGAACAGAAAAATGGTATGATCATACCAATGTCCAATCACTTTCATCTAGGGATGGAGGTTTGTCAACCAGCGAGAGACTCTCAGGCTTAGGAGGATTCTTCGAAAATAAAGATGACTTGCTATCAAAAAAGCTTCCGAATGGACGAGAAGGGTTTTCATCTGAGTTCTTCTGGTCTTTTGGAGGAGGTTTTCTCTGCAGTTTATCCTTGCCACCAAAGTTAAGACCAAGCCTCTTAAACCGACGTTTTAGCTCACCAGCAGGGCTTCCATTTTCATTTGTCGGTGTCTCTTCTTGCTTTATTGTCTTTATGACATCATCAGGAGACAATAACATTGTTTCCACTGTTTCATACACCTATTTACAGAATTCACATTGAACATCATCAGAAGTACACAATCAGACAATGGAAAGGAATTACAAGAATAGCGAAATCGTAAAAACAGATACTTGCAATCATGAGAAGCAACTATTGTAAATTCTTGCATTTTGAAGAAAACAAAGTCTCCTTCCCCTCACAAGGAATGCCGGAAACAAAGGCACTCCATCATCATTTTAATTAGCATTCAGTGTAACCACTAGTGTATCATAAGCATTTGACATTGGTCCAATATGTTTAAAATACTTGTTATTTCCATTGGTAGATACAGGCAGGCAGCTGTGTGCAACAGAACCTACCTGGCAAAGATCGTCCGTTTTATCATTCCAGACGCTACTCTGGCAAGTTGCAACAACATAGTCTTTGCACTCATAAAACAGCTTTGAAAAGTTGTCATTAGCAGAGAGCTTGTCCTCAGCTAATACAAGTCCCAAACCAAGCTGAACATTACAAAAATGAGACATCAGCATTATAAGAATGTCTTTGACTAATAATGTGTGACATAAAAAAATGAACAGAACAGCCAATTATCGGTACTCCTGTCAAATCATGTTCTAGAAACCAAGTAGAAAAAATAGCAGACTCCTCCTTCCATTTCTTTTTCTTGGAGGGGCGGTGAGGGGAGATTGTTGGTACAAGTGCAACAGCTTGGATACATTTAACTGAACTCAAATTGGAAATAAGAGACAAAAACAAAGAAACGCTCATCTGTTATTAGAGAAAACACTTACTAGAGAAACAAAAAGTTGTTCAAAAAGCTCAGAAGTGGGAATGTCCTCTAAGAAATTCAGAATTCCTTCCCTACAGGAACCATAAATCAAGCTATTCTTGTAAGAAAGCAATAATCCTATGATAGAAAATTTAAGACTCGTAACATCAAATCCTATGCGTCGAACTTACACTGCCAAATCCTCATCAAAGAGTGGTGTTTGTCTAATGGCTGGTACTGGCTTGGCTGTCTCCCACAGTTCACGCCACAGATTACCTATCAAACATGCATAATTCACATATCAGAACCAACTATAACAAAAGTTTCAGCAAGTGACACTACCTGCAGCTTAAGGATGCCAAACAAAACCATCAAGAAGTAAATACCCTCTACTCAACTAGAAGAGTAAGTTGTACATGAGACATGCTCCGGTTGTCGGACCTCATTCTCCTAATACGAATTACACAAGGACATTATACAAGTTCATTCAAGCATACTCCCTTGCGTATTCAATGAATCAATATTCTCTCTTCAAAAGTAAAACCTTATCAATAAGAAACTAAAATGCAGCAAAATATAGGAAGCTGGGTAAAACCTTCTTTTTGCATTCTACTACTTAGTTGACCTCTTGTAACTGAAGAGTTAACCTCATTGCTTGGCTCAGTTTCGGTCCAATCAGGAGGAGAGTGCCATCTAACAAAATCTTCTAAAATACAGCCAGGATTTGCAGCCTAAAACGATTGTAAAATAGATTTATTTAGATTCAGCATCGAAAGAATATTCTATTGCATTCATATGTATCAAACAACAGCAGTAAGATAGAGGAATTTTCTTTGTTCTAAAATATCACCTTGAAAGCCTGCATGTCTGAGAGGAGTTGAGAACACCCAGCACCAACACTGACCCAAGAAAGATAAGGCAATCAGTAAAAGAATAGCAAGCATAACATAATTAACTCCACAAAGAATTGTGATAACAGAGAAAAAACTGACATTTCACTCAAAAACTTTTATGTGCCTAACACAAAGATAGAAAAGATTAAGAAAATAATCCGAAAAATCCAACATAAATAACAGTGCTAGATAGGTTGATCCTGAAAGATAACATCATTGTTTCGAAGCAAACACGATAACCTTAATAACATTAAGATTTATGAACAAAATTTATGTAGTAAACAGCTTAAGATGATGACCATTAAAAGAAGATACTTAGTTCTATAGGGAGAAATCCAAATAAAATGTTACAAAAGTAAGGAAAGTTTGGTCAACATACTAACCTCCCCGTTCGAAGCACCAACTCCTCTGTTTCTCTGATAAGATCTTCTGTAAGCAAAGGTCCTTCCTACAGACATATACATAAACACACTGAGCCATGGGAATAGGCTCAAAAGGTAGGTAATCTGTCACCAGAATTTGCCAGCCGAACCTGGGTAATAGGTGAGTATATAGGTTCACCAGTTTCCAACATTGTTAAATTATCAGCCGGTTGATTAGCTCCCAATCGAAGAACAAGTTCTCCAGTGCTAAGTTGCGCATACAATGCAGAGCTAGCAGAAACTGTGCTTATAGAACCATCTGACCCTTCAATATTTGAACTAGCTTCCCTCATTTCAGAATCAAATGATTCAGTGGCAATAGTACGGCGTCTTTTTCTTGATAGACAACAGTTAATAACCTGTAATTGTTGATATAAAAGACATGAATTTAGATCTGGAATCTCATCCACAGGAATGCCTGGCAGATGTCTCTCTTCAGACCAAAATCTTCTCAGCTGCATGTAACTCCAAATACTTTTCATCAGATGAAGATTAACATTTAACAACAAGCATGTTTAATGCAAACAAACTCTAAATGCATCAAAATGTGAAAATGCAGGATTCTAATTTACATGAAGAGAACCTGAGGCACGAAAAAATCCTACAACTTATAGACACCCAAGTGCCACCATGTTGCTATGCTAGATAAGGGGCCATTACGATCTTATGCAATGATGATACCTTGAACTTCCTTATATGAGTTTTAATAGAAGATGGTTTTAATGAGACAAACAGATCCAATGTGTAAAATCAGTGAAGTATTCTTTCATCATTGACCATTCATGTAAGTTCAGATAACAGTTCTGTACAGCCCACTTACTTCGATAACAACCCTGCACCAAAAGAGAGCCATTTTGCGAAGGGTTCTAAAGCTTCCAAGGACTTCAGAAAGCTTAACGAGAAAGCTGTCTGGAGGAGCGCCATGAATGTCTTTTGGCAAAGATAACATAGTTGTACATGTGTTTGAATCAGAGACAAGCTTCCTTCGGAGGAAGTTTCCTTCTGCAAATATCTTGCAGATATTACAACGAAAGTGAAAGACCATCACAGGAAAATATGAAGGATTAAAGAAGAAACATGTCTCCTACAATAACACAAGTCCTGTCAATCACATATATGAATCTACCTGCATCAAACAGTGAATGAATCAAAGCCAGGACCCTCTCATCATCACCAAAGCCAGATGCAAGTTTATCCTCTTTGTCACGAAGCACTAACGACTTCACTGCAGAGAACCTCAAGCCTGTCCTTTCCCTAATAGGTGAAGAACTTCCTGAAGATGCCAAAAGATCTTTCAATGACTTAAACTTCTTTCCAGCCCTGGAACCAGAAGGAAAGCACAGAAAGATATGAACACCACATACAAGCTGAAAAATAATAAATCAATAGATTACACATTTGACCAATTAGCATGAGCTCAAAAGCAATAACACATTTTGAATCAGAAGATTAAATATCACTATCATTACAAAAAAAAATCACTTTACCATCATGGCAAAGTAGTGCAAATTGACCGGAACATAGTCCCAAAAAAGGGAACCAATTCACAAATCAGCATGTTTCATGAGGCATCAAATGATTTTAAGTATCAACAACCGCAGGGAAAGACAAATGAAGTCAATAATTGAAAGAATGTTAATGGAAAGAACCTACTCAACAGCTATAGCCAATTGCTTGATGACAGATGTTGGAGGAATGTTATTTGTGTTGACGGTATTTAAAACATCTACAGAGGGAATTGCTTCTAAAGCCTGTAGCATAACAATCTCGTTAGCTAAATCCATTCATTTGAATTTTATAATGACAGATATATAAACATTTTACTATCCATTATAGCAACCTTCACCCATGGCTGAGCAAAATAAAGAGAAATCACAAATGTACCTTTGCTTCTGCATCATTCTTCATGTTGAGCAAGTACATGTTTTCATCACAGAATGGAGCAGCCATTGTTGAATTTTCAACTTTCTCGCTATCTTCAACTCCTTTTCTACCTATTCGTATATTCTTAAATCTTTCCTGCCACTCTTGCTTTGTCCCTAAATTTGTAGGTCTCCACCTAGAATGCTTTACCTCATGGATACACTGCAACACACCACACAAAATTTAAAACTAAAATAAATAAATATGTATTTTCAGGGAAAATAAAATGCCAATACAACTCAAGTAAATTAGCATAATTAGTACTCAGCAGAATCTCAAAGCCTTTTCTGGCTTGTTTCATTGCTAAGAAAGCACGTGAACACTAAAGAACATACAAATTGCAAAGCCTATGATCCCATTCCAAGCAAACTAAGCGAAACTCTACGACATCAATACTTAAACAAGTCCAGCACAACGAAATTTCAACCAAAAAAAAATATTCTCCACTTTACTTCATTTTCTCGAGAGCCAAACAAAACAGCACATTGTACCTTAATTCCAATTTCCATTTCAAAACAAAATAAAAACAAATAAATAAATAAACAAAAACAGCTTAAATACTACATTTCAGCTTAAAACAAAACCAAATTTCAAATGAAAACTTACCTTCGACTCGCCTTCGATCGTCAGAGATTCGTTCTTGAATTCCTTCGCCGGCGACAATTTATCAGAATCTTCACCAAATGGATAAAGGAAAAACAACAAAAAAATAAAACAAACAAATTCAGTTATCAATATTAACAACAATCCATTAAAAACCGGAATTTATATTTAATTTTTTTTCAAAAATCTAAATATAGCAAAGCCAATAATAAAATTTGCGATAGATATTTAACAGCCAAAAATATAGAAGATCTTTTTTCCATTTTTTAACCTAGATCGGATTTCAAATCAGTGAAAACTCGCTCGGCTTTGGCAGCTGCGGAGTGGAAAGCGGTTCTCGCTTTGGAGACGAAGGACGTAGCCTCCATATCGTGCGCCGTGGTTGCGCACGTTAAGATTCGAAGCGTAGGGTAACACACACAGAGAGAGAACAGGTGTTAAAATGAGAGAGACCAAAACGGTGGCATTTTCCTTTTGCAGGGAGAGCGGGGGGATTTGTGAGGGGTGACGAAGAGAGAGATGAGTGTAAAAACCAAAGGAGAATTTAAAATTTATTTTTGTATTATAAAACTGAATATTTACTTTAAAGTAAGGTAGTACAACTTTGTTTTGATAATTTTGATGTAACGTTAAATGTAAGGTTTGGCTTTGGATAAAGAATAAATTTTCAAATTTGGACTTTTTCAGATAATTTAAATTTTGACTTTACCAAAAGATTGTAATAAGATTTGAAATTTTGAGATTTGAAGAAGTTATTATTCAAATTAAGGTTTAATGGCCATTTTACATAGTATTTTATGTTTTTCTTTTCTTTCAATTAGTCATCCTTGAATAAATTTTGTTTTCCGAAATGGGTTCACAATTAAGAATATTTTTATAAAAAAATTCAACCATATAATCCTTTCGAGAACAAAATTTATTTACGAGAGAATTAATTAGAAATAAAAAATAAAAAAATACAAAGTGATATGATAAAAAAAATTGAAATTACGGGAATGTACTTGAAATTTAACTTGAATAAATAAAGTTAATTTACTAACATTCCATTCAACCGGGTACTAGCCATTTTAAATGCAAAATTCCGTGATTATATTTTTTATTTATCACCGAATTTTGTAAATTATAAAAAATATGAAAATTTACTAATAAAATTATCCATGATGATGTGACCCCCTTTTCGGAATAAAATGTAACACCATGCATTGCATTAGTTTTTATTATCACCGAACACTATAAAATGATTTTTTCATTCACATTACACTGTTATTATCGAATGTAATCTTAATTTTTCTTTATAATAATGAATACAATATAATTTTTTAATATATCTTACAGAATTTTATATAATTAATTAATTAATTAATTTAGAAAGTAAAAAAGCCAGAAATTGATTGTCGTCATTTGCATCAATCATTAGCTTCAAAAGCATATTATTAATTTCTTTAATCACCGTAACTTAGAAGCATCACCCACTTGATTTAAAAGAAATAATCCTTACATCCGTCCCATAATCATAAGAAATTTTTTTTGGTCAACACGTTTTAGGTGTCACGTGACAGCTAACACTCACAATTTACACGAGAAAGTGTCAACAATCTCTCTTTTTTTCCTTCTTCCTTTTTTTTTCTTTAAAATAATATTAAATAAATAAAAATTTTGTATTCATAAATGGGTTTATATTTATACATTGTAAGTATATAAATATTATATACTATTATTTAATTATAAAATATCATATCATAAATATATAAAAGTAAAAATGTTAATATTTAGATTAAGATTTAATTTAAAGTCTTTAATGGTTCATTTGGTGGAAATAGAACCGAATTTCAATGGTCTCGAGTTCCTTTGAAGACTATTGACCTTGGAATGACTGGCACAAGGAAGTATTGACCTGGTTAATAATAAACTTCTCTTCAAAATAACGGATGTTTATTTAAATTTAATTTTAAATAATAAATATTAACATATTTATGTAGAATTTTTCTTGTTTTAATATTGAAATTTAAGTGATATCGAATTTGGATAAAGATTTCAAAGTTTAAGTCAAATTTGGATCATATTTGAAAGAAGAAGAAAAATAAAAAATTATATATTTCAGAATGAAACTTAATTAATATGTATTTTTGAATATGATATATATATTTTTAAGTACTCATCTCTTATTTATTTATTTTTTTAAAAAATTGAATATGATATATTTTATATTAAATTTTAAATTTTTTATAATATAGATATTTAAAAATAAAAATATGAAAAATAAAATTATAATACAAAAAGAATATTAAGTATTTAAAAAAAATTATTTTGAAATTTTAATAAAAGTAAATAATGAAAAGGGGTTGGAGAATTACTCAAATTTAAGGAACATAATACCTAAAAATATTTAAATTATTTAAAAAATTTTAAATAAATCTTTACAATTTTTTGCATTTAATGAAACTTTTACATTTTTATTTTAAATGAAACTTTTACATTTTTATTTTAAATTAAATAAATCTTTATATATTTTTATGTTGAGTCAAATAAATCATTTTGACTAATAATTTAAAAAAAAACGTTTTATGCTCTTATTAATTAAGAGAAACAAATCTTCAATATATCATATATCATAAAATCACTTACTCCTGTAAACGGAGAATAAAAAATCGAATAAATGTTTGTAATCTAAAAACCTAAATTCATCATAAAATCAACTAGTCAATTTCTTTCTCTATAAATATGCTTTGTAATAATTTCTCATTCTCATTTCATCAAGTTGTGTATTGTACTGATTAATGATTAACTTAATAAAAGTATCATTTATCATTCTACGCCTTATAATGTTGATAATTGATAATAATATAGTATGTTGACATATCACTATTGGTGATAACGTGAAATGCTAATTTGACATAATAATATGATTATGTGATATGTTTTACTTTTTACATCAACACTATATAGTTATAAAATATAAGTGATATTTTAACTAATAACAATTAATCAAACATAAATCATAAGGATTTATTTAATTTAAAATAAAAATAAAAAAATTTAATCGAATGTAATAAAAAAAATAAAGGTTTATTTTAATTTTTTAAAATAATTTAACCCCTTATTTAAATATTATATTATTTTAAAATCTAGACCGTTACTCACAAAATCGCAGGCACAAATGGCACGGCTTAAAAATGAAAAATAATAATGATAAAAAGAGATAAAAAAAAAAAAAAAAACGATGTCTCGCGCGCTCTCTCTGTTTCTCTCTAAAATTTAAGCGCCAAAAAATGGACGAAGAAATGGACGAAACCGAAGCCGTTCCTCAGGTCGTCATGATTTCTAAGCTTACATGTCTTCGATTTGCCTTATCTCTAAAATCTGTTTGGTTGCTGAGAAAATCGGGGGAGAAGAAAGACAAAAGAAAAACAAAGCGAAAGAAAATGGGAAAAGTTTATCTCGCTTGTTCTCTGTCTATCCGTTTTCGAAAAGTGAAAAAACAACGAAACGTTGAACATTCAAACTTTAACGTTCTCTGTTGGCTTACCTAGTAAACGAGGAAAACCGAGAGATGTTATTGTGTATATATCTTTTTAATTTCTTATTTGGCTTTCCTCGTTTTAATTTCTGTACTTTTCTCTCCATTTTCTTATCATCCAAACAGAGCAGAATCAGATTTTTTTTCCCAAACGAATTCGCTTTTTGATTTTAAAAATAAAGATTTATGTAGAAGATCGACTACAACAGCTCCATCTTCAAGTGCTCATTGATGGCTTTGCTTCATTATTAATTACTACTAATAGTTATTTGATCAGAGATTGCGTTGGCTTTTAAGTTTATTTTGATCCTAAGGAATTTTGTTTCGTATCTAGTTACTGACTTATTAATTATTTGATTTAATTAGTAGTACAATCTCTCGGACGTTATAATTTCTTGCTAATTAATCTGTTTGGATGGATCTAAATGCAGGTTTTCATGGCATGCATTCAACACGGGCATAGGTGAGCTTAATCTTCGATTTCTACTTAGATTGTCATCTTTGATTTCATTGGTTTGAGTTCTATATTGAGAAAATTTAACAAAGATTTATCTCTGGAATCCGGATTTATGGATGATTTTTCAAACTCTATCCTGTCCAGAATTGGAATTTCTTACTACGATTCCAGCATTCGTCAACTTAACGTACTGGAAGTTTGGGATGATGGTAGCTCGGACTTTCCAATGATTGAGCTTGGTATGAGTTTCATGTCTTTTCTAGGAATCTAGAATCCATCCCATTATGTTTCTTGATAATATATAAGCAACTGGATTTTTGAAAATGTTTCCTAGGAATCTAGAATCCTGTCATTCGTTGTCTTCATAATCTTCTCTCCCGTTTGCTATGGCTTCAGATTTTTAATGTTCCTTTAATCAGTTCTAATTCATAATTTCTCTCTCTCTCTCTCTCTCTCTTTTGTTTTTTTTTTTGGTTTGTTTCGCTCAATGCTGCTTCAGTGAAATATCAAGCCAAGCCCGTGATCATATACACAAGCACTAAAGCTGAAGAATCCTTTCTGTCAGCTTTACAAGGAAGTGGTATACATTCTTTTTGTTTGGTTGACATGTAAATTATCATCTTATTTACTCTATAAAGTGATACAGATGGAATGACAGAGGCTCCTACAGTGAAGCTTGTTAAAAGTTCGATATTCACTTTTGAGCAAGCATGGCACAGGTATCAAAAGGACGGTAAAAAGTTAATTGACACCTTTTGGTTCACGTCTTCAGTATTAATCTATGCAACTGGTAGGATGACGAAATTTCTAATTGAAGCATTCACTTTTCATGTATCTTGGCAACTTAAGATGTTTGAATCTTATGAAATACATTTCCAACATTCTTGTCTGTATAATTGGCAATCTCAACTATGGTCAATACCACCACCCAATCCCAGCCCTTAATTTACAGCGGCAATGTTATACCAAGGTTATTTTACACAGTTTCCTTGTAGATACTTGGCAATTTTATTAGCGTTCCGTTGAGACTTGACTGAAAAGCTTCTGCATCTTCTTTCATATGAAGCATGTTTCAGGTATCAAACTTAGGGGAGTCCAGTAAGTGGTTCATTACTTCATCTTAATACGTTAAATATCTAATATTGGAAGAAGCCACCACTACCAACTACTGGTACAGATTTACCATGCTTAACTTCTGCTGCTGATATGGATTGATTAAAAGAAATTGTATTCAATCAGCACATTAATTCTTATTATGAACTTGTTCACATTGTCATAGGATTTAGTACCTTTACTTACTCATTTTGTAGAGTAGACTCAACTCACCTTAGTTTGCTGTCCTGAAATATCTTTCTTAAATTCCATACCTAGACCCATGTTCTTCAACCCCAGCTTTATTCATCAAAATTCCCTCTCACCTTTTCTTTTCTGGTTTCTCATTTGGCCTTTATAGGTTGATATACCTTCGAGTAATGGGAATGGATGATGGGCTAAACATCAAGGAGAGAATTTGCTATGTGAGTTGTGAAATATGATTTTTTTTTTGGCATATGATCAATTTATACGCTCTGTCATCTTTGATGAAAAATTCATTTGCACTAAGATTACATAATTTCAGATTGAAGTCATGGTTCATTCAAATTTTTTATGTTATTTGTAATTTCCTTTATAACATGATTATTATACAGTTTCAAGTTTGGTTTGGAGCGTTTTGAACAATTAATATTTCAAATTATTAAATACTACATTAATATGTAAAAACTTTTGATATAAACATTTTGGGGAATAAAACAAAAGAAGCGTGCTTTTAACGGTTCTGCAGTTTGACAGTTTAGCTTCTCTGCTTCAGTCTTTGAGATAGTGAGTTTAGTTTCTAACAGCTTCCTGACACGAAAAGTTGTTATACTGTCCAAAGTATAAACTCTACTGTCATGTTTGATCCCTTTCTTTTGAGGTTGTGTCAATCCCAGGACCCTTCTTTTCTAATTGCAATAGACACATCCTATTGACCATATTGATAGAATTCTGCTGTCATTTACATGTTCTGTTTCTTTTTCAACTATTGCAGCTGAGTTCTATGATGGACATGGGAAGTGATGTCCAAGTTCGTGTAAGTGGGGGCCTGCTTGCCATATTAGAGAATGAAAGGATTGTAGATACCCTTGAGCAAAAGGAATGTGGGAATGCTTCAATTACAATTGATTCCGTCATTGAAATTTCATTGTATCATTTTATATGACAATGCTTAGAGGATCCGTTCTTTATCATTCTCCTTCTTCTTCTGCTTTTCTAATTTTTCAACTAAAAAATTTTACCTTTGGCCAAAAGAACAATAAATTCTCAAAACAAGACTCAGTATGTATTGCTTACCTTGACAATTGAAAAATAGGGACAAGTTTCTTAAGCTTGATGCTGCAGCACACGAGGCATTGCAGATCTTTCAAGTAGATAAACATCCAAGTCATATGGGAATTGGTAGAGCAAAGGAAGGGTAACTGCTTCTATTATACTGCAAATTTGACTTCTTGCTAGGTATACTTTTCTATGTTTTAACTTTAACACATCTCTAATGATTTCTTGATTTGTAGGTTCTCTGTGTTTGGAATGATGAACAAGGTTTGTAAAGTTACGTGATTTTCATCTTGTACTGTCTTTTCTCTCTTTGGACTGATTCATTTTCTCGTTAAACTTAAGTGTGTGACACCAATGGGGAGACGTCTTTTGAGGTACATCAAACTTGAAAAATCTGTCATCTTGCTGCTTCTAATATTATATCTAACCTAAACACTTGGACAATGGTTTTCCTTGCTTTAGAAACTGGTTCCTCAGGCCCATACTTGACCTGGAAAACTTGAACAATCGTCTCAATGCTGTATCCTTCTATTCTTTAATCATATGGGGAATGTACTCACTTTACCTGAACCAAAATTCAGTTTGGTGGCATGTCAAATAAAGAATACCACAACCTGCACTGTTGTGAGGTGGAGTCTGGTCATAGATTTGGTTTTCAGCTATGTTCTTAATCTACTATTATCATCACTTATAGCCTTTAACAGGATTAAGATATCATTCTTTCTTTCTTCTGAAGAATTGATGGTTTCTCTAAGTGAAACTCTGAAGTCTGTGAAGGATATCCCTCACATACTAAAGGTATGATCATTGCAGTTAATTGTTCACCTTTCTACCCTTCCTGCCTGCATTGAATCAGAATTTCCAGGTTTATGGTTTACTTAGAGTTACTGCATGTAGCAACTAACATATGTTGCATTAAGTTCAATTTGTATCATCAGAAGTCTTTCTTATTTTTTCTTTGCCAAAAGGATATGTTTCTTCGATGCTAAGTTGACCAATTTATCACTCTAATGGGATTCATTTCTTTTCTTGTGGAAGAAATTCAACTCACCAAGCTCCATGTGTACAAGTAGTGACTGGATGGCTTTTCTGAAGGTATTGCTTACTAAAATTTTCCAAGCTTTCATTCCATCCTCTCTCCAGGTCAGTTGGTATATGTGAAATTGAGCATCTGGTATTGATAAGATGATCTTCCAGATGTAACATCAATGATTGAGGACTACTTTAATGTTTTTCACTTGAATCTGAATTTTTTGTTTCTTTGAGATTCATGCATAACCTATGCTGTGAGTATAGATAAATAACAATATGAAGAAACATAGAGCAAATACTTCTCATTTCAACAATCATTTCATGGTTTAATTTTGTGCTAAATAAATTTGTCGCATAAAATGCAATGAGTTTTTGAGAGTGATGTAACACAGTTTAAGTTCCTATCATTCTTTGTTCTCTTGCAGAGTGTCTGTTCACTCTTGCATGTGAACAAGATATTTGAAGTAGGCATTTCTGAAAACCTTCGGGAGCATATGGAGTTCTTGAATTTGGACATTGTTGCTAAGGTATCAAACTTAGTCTTGGCACATTTCCTCTTTCCACGAAGTTGGACGTGAAATATTTATCTTTAGTGTTATCTGATCTTTTCCGCAGGCTAGTGCATGCATCCCAGCAGATCTGGCATTTGTCTATGAATTGGTTAGTCCCTATCACTTCGTAACATTTCATTTGACCCAGTGATGCTCATTGTTTCCACAGATATGTTAAAATTAAATCCCTTGTGAAAGTTCTGTCATTCTGATTTCTGGAAATCACATAAGTTTCAAAGAGCCCTGCATCTTAATTTAGCTGTTCTACATTCACGTCTAGACTTCCATTTTACAAAAGTCATAATGTAGTCTTCTGAAGAAATTTGCGTAATCCCTCCTCATCTGTGTGATTCCCATTCAAAACCTGAAAAGAGTGGCTAGTTTAATGAAAGAGTAAAAAACATTTAGACAAAAAACCGAGTGAATGTTTCAGCCTAGAAGAATGACAGATTCCTCTCTTCTAGCATATGCAAATGTGGGAAATGGCTCAGTGCAATTTACAAAAAAATAAATAAATTCTAAATTGATGGAGATACATATTCTAACTACAGATTAATACAAGAAGGTGCTTAAAAATTGACAATAGGACTGATTATGCTACTTTCTTTTTCTCCTAGTTTCTATTATTTTACTTCATGCAGCTGTGGTTTTATTTTTCATTTAAGTGACCTTTAAATAAGTGGAGCTATAGTGATTAGAAGAATGTTGATTTTCCTGCTGTTAACCTTGTCAATATCTTATTTAAATTGACACATTCTGTGTATTTATAGGTCATTGGTGTTATTGATGTAAATAGAAGTAAAGAGAAGGGCTATGGGACAATGGTGAAAGAGGGTTTTTGCGATGAGGTTAGACATTTGTTCTGATTTTTCCGTGACG